ACAAGAAGTGTGTGTGTGTGTGTGTGTGTGTGTGTATGTGTGTGTGTGTATGTGTGTGTGTATGTGTCTTCAAGCAGAACTGAATGGATCAAGCCAAGCCTACCCTTGCCCCCTCCCCCCCCCCTACGTAGAACCGGTATTGCTTGCTAGCTCTACAGTCAGGCCATACCGACCGGAATAATAATATGTGTCACGACGTTGTGGAATCAGGCTCTCGTCAATTTTGTTGACTTGTAGAGTTATTAGTATCCTCTTAAAGCTTGTTCTTTTGTCTTGCTTTGGATGGTTAGGCTCTCGGACTCGCAACCATAAGGTCGTGGGTTCGAATCCCGTCAGGGGCCCGACGTTGTGTCCTTGGGAAAGGCACTTTACACGAATTTTCTTCACTTCACCCAGGTGAGAATGGGTACCGGGCTATAGACAGCGAAAGATCTTGTCAGTTGTTAGTGTTTGAGCACGTAATCAGCTGCTTGCGCTGTATGCTTCCCGGGAAGCTGAGAATGTTTCTGAGTGTCCTATGGTCTTCTGGGGTAATAATATAATGTAAAGCGCATAGAGCCTGCTGTTGAGCGGGGATATGCGCTATACAAATGATATTTATTATTATTATTATGAAAAAAATTCATTGATCTTGAATACAAGTCGAGATATTTGTGAATGAAGGAGGTGGGGGTCAACTGGTTTCAGAGGTAAAATTAGTGAGAACATGGCTGTCAAAGATTAGTTATTTCCTTAGCTTGAGAGTCTGTGGGAACTGATTTTTTTCTTGTCTTTAATCAACGTTTTTCAGTAAAAATCCACACTGAAATGTATTCTTTAATGGGCACAAAAAGGCGTTGAGCCAAAAGAACAAAAATTCGACAAAAATCCTCAAACCTGCGGGGAAAATGTCAATTTCTTCACTTTGATTATTTTGACAAGCGCCTGATTTCACCACGCTGCCTCACATATGAATCTGTATTCTTTTCGATGAATGCCGCACGGCAAGCAAATATGCTGAATAACCCTGTCCTGGTGGTGGCTGTTGTGTTTTGCCTGGGTTCTCAAGGCGTGTCTGGACTTAACCCTACCCCTCCTGGTTTTGTTTATAATCCCCTGTTGTTCTAGAAAGACGAACTGTGGCCGTTTTAAGATTAGCTGGTTCACGGTTAACCTTTGCGCACTAGAAAGTAGACGCTGCAGGCTTGAGGTATCAATAAAGGTGTATATTATCTTTAGGCATCAACATTTGTCAATTCATTAGTTTGGGTTTTGTATAGAAACCATTGAGGTCATTTATTTTAAAAGTGCGTTGGGCTTTGTTACGAAGGGGTTAATTCAAAAGGGGGGGGGGGGGGAAGAGAGAGAGAGAGAGAGAGAGAGAGAGAGAGAGAGAGAGAAAGGGGGGGGGGGAGGAGTAGGGGGGGGGGGGAGAGAGAGAAGGGGGGAAAGAAGAGGGCGGGCGCGATGTTCTGAAAAGGTGTCTCACATGAGTCCATAACTTTGAATGTCATGTTCTCCCAAGTAAAGCGTTCGTTTGCTTTCAAGTTCTGTTTTGTTGTTGCCATATTTTCAAAGTTGTTGATCGCATTCACGATACTCTCTGTTATGTGTGGCTTATAATATGAATCTGATACAGAACTATCGAAACAAGACTTGATGTTCATTTATTGACATCGACCAAAATCTTCCACGAAAATTTTCACTTTTCAGCCTTGCAGTCAGCCCCTCCCACTAAAAGAAAAATCTACTCACACACAAAAATAACCAACCAAAAAGAAACCGCTTTTGTTGAACAGTTAAAAACAATAAAGAATAAAAATAATAATCAAAATTATAAATAGCATTTGTAT